CAATAAAAATAGATAAAATTTAAAATACAATTATATAAGGTGAAGGAAAAAAGGAGGGATATCTTAGTTGTTGTATGAGAAATTTATGTGGGAAGGATGAGAAAAGTAGAAAAATGTCTACTGAGAGAGAGAGAAAAAAAGGAGATTAATGAAAAATAATAAAAAGGACTGAAAATGCATAGCAAAAATGGAAGAGCCCTTGCTATGGAAAGAAAAATTAAAAAAAATAAAAATACAACCATACCAAATAAAACAAACAATAAAAAAAGAGAGAGAGAATATTAAGGAAAAGAATTAAGAACAGGAGCAAAAAATGAAAAATGTGTGTGTGTGCGGAGCAATATACTGTCTGGACAGTAGGTAGCACTGTGGTGTTAGGAGACAGAGAACACTTACACACTGGTTTTGCAGTGTAAGATGGGGAATGGAAGCCACTCTCTGGTTGCAGAGGAGACCTAGTCCTATCTTCCTGACTTATTTTCCCTCAAGCAGGGCCTGGTTACTTCATTAACATTCAGTCTCCATGGGATTGGGGTGAAGTTCTCACCATATTTCTTAGGTAGCATGTCACAACAATGTCCCCTGACAACAAATTGGCCTTCCCAGGGATGTGGGGGCCATTCAGCTCACCCCAAGGATGGTGGTCTGAACTCAGGAAGCCTGCCAGACCTGGCCATGCATTAGTACCCTCCAGACTGTTCCTCCTGTGTGGCCTTCCCACAGTGGGGGCACCCTGCTAGTAGCAAAGCCAATGGGAGATCCACCCCACTCAGTATTTAATCCTGGCCACTGGAAACTGCTCAAGGTCACTTGCTCACCCAAGACCTTCCAAGGCAATTTCCATGAACAGCTCAATCCAAAATCAAAAATCAAAAAACTGCAAGACATTTTTCCTTTCCTGTCCCTAGTCTTCCATGAGAGGGTTGGCCATCTGGCCTCTACTCATACCCAGGCACTTGCCTTCTGTGCAGGTCTTCTTTAGCTCTAGATCTCCTTGTTGGCTCCCGGAGTCTCCTACTGCTTCACTGTGTCCCTGGAGTGATGTTTCTGGATAGGTTCCCCCAGCCAGTGGTGGCTGGAGTTATCTTGCCCATTTTATCAAGTTTCTGGTAAGGAGATGTCTCTAGTCTGCCATCTTGCTCTACTGGAACATTCTTTATTAATGTTATTCCTGAATATTTTTTCTTAATCAAATGTTACCAAAATTGGAGCCACTAATTTTATTCCAAAGAAAAGGACAATGCCATATGAAAATATTTTCACAGCAGTCATTTTGTGCTCTTTTTAGGTATCAACAGCCAGGCCTGTTACATGTCCAGAGTTCAGACAGAGTAATCATTAAAAATGTATGTTTTGGTGGTTTATTTTGTTGTTTTTATTTTCTTTTCCAAAAGCCTATAGCTGAATGTTGGTTAGTAGTGTTAGGCATAGATTTCCTCTTTCCATAAAACACTAATGTTCATTTCTGTTGTGGTTTTCTATTAACCCAAAAGGGTTTGTTTCCCCCTTTTCATCACCATTTTTATAAAATAGAGAGTTCAGATTTACCTAGCAAAGACATTATTAAACAACAGAAGTTCAGTTTTTATATTGTGGCTTTCATTTACATATATCATTTATTTGGTCTATTTGGGGCAAATGGCCATAGAAATATCCTTTTATAGAAAAACACTTCTGAAGTAAAAGGTCAAAATGCAGGAAAGGTTATAATTTTTATTTACAGTCTCAATAGAAATTTTTTAAATTGCTGGTATGAGATGACCCCACACTACAGATGTGTGTACACACATCCACAAACTTCCCTGTGACTTTAGCTCTCTCCATGAGAGAAGTAGCTGAGGCAAAGGGGCTTTAGTGGAAATGTCAATAAGAGCTGTCCTCAGGCTATTCCTGCCAAAGCTGACAAAGAGATCACTAAAGTCTGAGTATCTCCAGCTAAGATCTTGGGGCCATGACCCCCATCTGTCATTCTGCTTTCATCAATCCTACCAAAACTTTCTGATTTCCCCAAACTAAAACCTCTTTCTTTCCATTCTGGTGAAAAACCTCTCTGATCCAGTAATGGTTCTAGGGCTTGGGGAGACTAACACTTGGGGCCAAAGGCACAAGGCCAAGAAGCATTCTAGCGTAGGTGTTTGTCAGGATCTAAAGCATTTGGGTTCTTGTGATTATAGAAAAGGACAGGTCATGGCTAAAGGGGCAGTGTCTTGGGCTAAGTGGGTTGACTCAGATCCATATGCCCTGACTGGAGGACTAAGGGCCTGATATATGGGCTAGATCACTGGCATGTGGGCATAGCTCAGATGATGGGGCTTGTGAATAGGGATAAGAATACACACGCTTCAATATGGTGTTACAAAGGCTGAAAGTGTGGCTAGTTAGGAAGATTTAGGTAGGGATACGATAGTAATATCACTAATATCACTCTCATACAATAGTCCAGAATAAATGAACAGAGTAATTCCTCCTTGTCTCCCAAGAAGTTGAATACCTTGAGTTTCTCCTTATAAAATCACTGAATGAGGTACATAGCCAGGTGTGAAGCTTTGTAGAGAAGCAGTTTATTAAAACAAAAAGCCAAAAATACAGAGGATGGTTGGGCAGAAAATGAAGCAAAAATCAACTATCTCATGATTAATGAAAGAAAACAACTTTTCTTTTCTTCATTCCTTATCAGGAAAGTGGAACAACATTTACTAGTGATTTCTGCCATCTTCACACAACTTGTAAGGAAAAGAAAAGATCAGAGAACACGCTGCATATGGCAGGAGTTGATGACTATTCATGAATTTTGGAGATCCAGAAGGCTGTGTTACAGGCTAAATTGTGTCCCTCTCCCATCCCAATTCATGTGTGAGGCCCTAATCTCCAATGTGACTATATTTGGATATAATATTATATCCAATAGTTAATCCAATTATATCCAATTAATTTAATAATTGAAAGTGATAAAGTTAAAATGAGGTCATAAGGATGTGGCATTAATCCTATATGGCTGGTGTCCTCATAACGAGAAACACTAGGATACATGCACAAAGAATGCTATCTGAGGACAAAGTGACAAAGTAGCCATCTGCAGGTCAAGAAGAGAGGCTTTAACAGTAACCAGTAACAAGGTAGCCATCTGCAGGTCAAGAGAGGCTTTTATAGTAACCAAACTTGATAATACCTTGTTCTAGAACTTCCAGCTTCCAGAACTGTGAGAAAATAAATGTTCTATGCTTCAGGCACCCAGTCTGGTGTTTTCTTATGTCAGTTCTAGTGAACTAATATAGATTTTTGCGTCAGGATTGGGGTGCCTTGATACAAACTTAAAAGTGTAGAAGTGGCTTGGAACTGTCTAATTGGTAGAAGCTAGAAAAGTTTTGAGGCACCTATTAGAAAAGGCCTAAAAAAGCCTTTTAAAGACCTGTGGCAAGAATGAAGATTTAAAGACGATTCCAATGGGGTCTCAGACAGAAATGAGGAATGTATAATTAGAAATTGGAATTTTGCTATGCAGTGGCAAAGATCATCCTCAAATTATCTATCATAATGTATTGTATAGTAGTGTATTGTGGAATGTAGAAATTGTGTAAGTGCTGAAATATTCAGATGAGATTTCTACACAAAGTAATGAAAATGTGGCCTGATTTCCCCCTGTTGCTTATAGTAAAATAAGAGGAAAGAGAAAAACTGAAGGAACTATTAAGTAAAAATGTACCATGACTTTAAAGACTTTGAATATTCTCAGCCTATCTATATTGGAAAAAAAAAAAAACCAAACCAAGAAATCATGTTCTAGAGAGAACACCAAGAGTGTGGTTGGACAACCACTTGATAAAATAGATTAGGATGGGTTTGAATGGAAATAATTAGCTATCTCACCAGACATTCTGTCAGCTTGGACCAAACAGGGAAAGAGATAAACAAAATGAAGGCAGACTACTGAGCTTATGGAATTCTAAAGGAAGGTATGATAGAGCTATCCAGCTGCAAACATGTGTTAATGTTCCAAGAAAAGGGAAGAATGTGATGTTCAAAGGTGAATCTGAGATTGGCAGGGTTACTACTCTGACCATGGGATCAGAGAGTACAGGTTAGGGATCAGGGTGGAGAGCAAGTGTCTCCTCGTCAGTTTCAGTGGACCAGCAGCTACTGCCCAGGGCCAAATGACCAACACTGCAGCTCCAGTGAGCCCAGAAAGAAGGGCTGCCAACCCAGTAAGCCCAGAAGGCAAGGCATTGAGCCAAAGTGGATTATTCTCAATACTTTAAACCTTACTGAAATGCCTTGCTAGGTTTGGGACTTGCTTGGCACCCAGCATTCCTTATGTTATTTTGATGTTTCTCTTTTGGAATGGAAAAGTGTAGCCTTTGCTTGTCCCACCTTTGAATTTTGGAAGCAGATAGCCTGTCTGGTTTCACAGGATCAAAGCTGAAGAGTTTTGCCTAAGGATGAATTGTATCTAGAGTCTCAATCCACACTTGATTTAGATGATATTTAGATGAGATTTTAGATTGAGAGTTGATGCATAAATAGGTTTAGAATTTTGTTACTGTTGGGACGGTGTTCATGTATTTGTATGTGGCAAGGGCATGGACTTTATTGGTCCAGAGGACAAAGTGTTATGGACTAATATGTGTTCCCTCAAAATTTATATGTTGAAGTCTCAACTCCCAATCTAACTGTATTTGGAGAGGGGGCCTTTAAGGTTATTAAAATTAAAAGAGGGTGTGAGCCCATCCAAAATGACTTGTCCTTGTAAAAAGAGGAGACACCAGGAAAGCATGTATACAGAAAAAAGCCCATGGGACTCAGCAAGAAAACAGCTACCTGCAAGCCAAGGAAAGAGGTTTCAGTAGCAACCAAACCTGCCAACACCTTGATCTGGGACTTCCAGGCTTATTTATAAGAAAATGAATTCATGTTGTTAAATCCACCCAGCCTGGGGTAGACTTAGGGAACACATTGCTAACACAGAAAGTAAACCGTAAATCAACTATCTCATGATCAAACAAAGAAACCAACATTTTTATCCTCATTCCATTTCAGGAAAGTGGAACATTTATTAGTGATTTCTGCAAGTATTACATTCATGGGGAAAGGAAAGGTCAAGAGAACACCTCTTCTGATAGGTGTTGATGACCAAACTTTGTCCTTCTGTGTCTGTGGAGGTGAGACTTCTGGCTAAAGCCACGCCCAGACACCCTGCACACATATGGCTTCTCCCCTGAATGGGTCCGCTGATGTCAGATGAGGGCAGACTTAAAGCCAAAGCCACACCCACACTCATCACAAACACATGGCTTCTCTCCTGAGTGTATCCGCTGGTCAGAGATAGGGTATGACTTTTGGCCAAGTCCTTGCCTCTCTACATAAAGATTCTCCTCTGAGTGTGTCCTCTGGTGTCTGGTCAGGAGTGACTTAAGGCCAAAGGCATGCCCACACTCAGGGCATAGGTAAGGCTTCTCCCCTGTGTGTGTCCTCTGGTGTCTGATGAGGGTGACCTTCTGACCAAAGCCACACCCACACTCAGGGCACAGGTAAGGCTTCTCACCCGTATGTGTTCTCTGGTGTCCAATGAGGGTAACCTTCTGACTAAAACCTCGCTCACATTGGGGGCACACGTAAGGCTTCTCCCCTGTGTGTGTGAACCCTTCTGATAAGGGTAACTTTCTGGCGAAAACTATGCCCACATTCAGCACAGACATAATGCTTCTCCCCTGAGTGTGTGACCTGGTGACTGAGTAGTGGTGAATGCTGCCAGAAGCTGTGCCCACACTCGAGGCATAAGAAGGGTTTCTCACCTGTGTGCGAGCTCTGGTGTTAGAGGAGCGATGCCTTCTGGCAAAAGCCTCTCCCACACTCGGGACACACAAAAGGCTTCTCCTTCAAGTGTGTCCTCTGGTGTAGAATGAGAGCTATCTTCTGGCAAAAGCCTCTTCCACACTCCTGACATATAAAAGGTCTTTCCCCAGAGTGAATCCTCTTGTGGTTAATGAGAGAAGATGTATACCTGCAGTGTCACCCACATTCCCTGCACACATAAGGCTTCTCTCCTGAGTGCTTCCTATGGTGTATGTTGAGGGAAGCCTTCTGGCTAAACTGGTGCCCACACTCAGGGCACAGGTAAGGCTTCTCCCCTGTATGTATCCTCTGGTGCTTGATGAGGTCTGATCTCTGGCAAAAGACTCTCCCACATTCAGGGCACATATGATGCTTCTGGTGGCTGAATATGCTTGACTCTTTGTTAAGTCCTAATCTATATTTTCTACATATAACTGCTCCAGATTCTGAGGCATCTACTCCCTTTAACATTGTGTCAGACTTCTCAGGGCTTATCCTCTTGGCCAGGCAGTCTATTCCTCCTCCTCTATTGCCTTCTACCCAAACTAATGGGTGACTTGGACGTGAGCTGAAAAATGTCCTCGAAATTCTGTTCACCCTTGTTCTCCTGAATGAAATGTCAAGGTCTTCTCTTGTTCCACCTCCTTTTTCATTTGAGCAGCTTGGAGCTTCAAGTTAAAAGTCACTTCCCACAGATGAGCTTGGAAAACTCTGTGGATTATTATTGCTTAGTACATACTGTCTGAGGATTTGTGGACTAGTTAAGGCCACCAGATGGGAGAGAGAGGGCTGGAATTCTGTCCTGCGCTCTGCTAGAGAGAAAGTCTTGGTCAAAATCACCATAGATGCCTTGAAGATGGTAACATTTGCCGTATAGTCATGCCTCAGATGTTCACAACAAAGCCTTTCTCTATAGACCTACCTTTCAACCCACATATTAGTACATGCCTTGTTGCAGTACAAAATACCCACACTACAAACCAGCTCTAAGCATCAACCAAACTATTAATAAAAGGTTCACAAGAGCATTACATTAGGTTTGGCTCTCCCAACATCTATACTACTACAAGCAGAGTTACACATTTAAGGCATAGTCATTAATACTGCTATAAACATTACCCACAAATACATGCTTATACTAAATGAGTTATTACAATTTCCTTAATGACTTTTTCTACTATAAAGATGTGATGAACTGAATTAAGAGTCATTCCCCCTAGAGGTTCCCTAAATGGAGGAGGCAATATAAAACAGTAGCTGAAGAGACCCATGTGGAAAATTAAACTGAACATTTCTCCATTCACAAGCAAATATTTAATTTAGCCATAGACCAGTGAGACGTGGTCTAGGTCTGCAATCCCCTAAAGGATTTTTGACTCCTGGTGACCTTAATCAATCCAAGACTTGTTTTTCTGAGTTTTGTGCAAGAGATAAAAGCAAAATTTCCACCTATAATATTTCTTGCCTAAGAGATATCAAATGCATATGTATTGTTCCATTACAATTGATTCTTTACTTGGAAAAAGAACTGATTGGAAAAAACAAGTCATGAGTTCTGAGTAAACCTTGTTTGTCAGGCCTTTCCAGATCTACCTGATTCTTTCTAACTGATAGAATGAGATACTTTTTTGAGCCATCTATGGCCAGTCTCCCACCATTTTGTATGTAAAATAGTGTTGACATACAGCTGCCCATTCCTTTATGTACTGCCTATGGTTGCTTTTACTACATAACAGCTAGTTGGAACAAAAAACATAAAGCTCAAAATATTTACTATTGGACCCTTTATAAGAAGTGTTTACTGAACCCTAATCCACAGCTCTGACTTACTGGTCTAAAATGCCAGTTTTTGATCCTAATAAAAGCCACCATGAAACCCCCTCTTCCCAACATTTAAATCTTGCCTCATCCCTTGAGAAAACAATTCAATTGGTTCAGCTCTCTAGGTGTGTCTGTATGTGCACTGCTAGGTTTATAGGTTCTTCTGAAACTGTCTTGACAATTATAAGTGCTGACCCCAAATAAACTTCCAAATTATTAAAGTTAACTCCTTTTAGCCTTGGTATGCAGATCTGGTCATCAGGGTGACTGTGGGTAGATTCTAATCAGCAATTGTGCTCTAATTCAGTTCACTGAACTGTCATTTATTTTTGGTAAGCTAGTCTGACCACATTATCATAACTCTTGGCATGTGTGTACATTTGCAGCTAGCAGCTTCCAAAAAAAAAAAAACTTTGCTATAATTCTAGAGTTTTGATGGCTGAGGTTTCAGTATTACACTACTGTCTACTTGTCTATGATTTGATGGGTAGAGAAATGCAACCACTGCTAATGCTCTGGCTTGTTTATATATGCATTGGGTCATAAACACTAAGCCCAGTTCATTGCACATCATTTCAGGTGTGCTTTTCAACAGGAGAGAAATCACTTTTGTGTTTCTTCTGTATTAAATGTGGTGACTGGTTAAATTCAGTTAAAATTGCCCTTAGAGGAAGCAATAGCTTTTAAGAAAACACTTTATTCATCATAATTTAATCTATAGATAATGTCTTTTAAAAATCTACAACTGCTCTTGTGCCAGATGAATGTGCAATTCAATTAATGTATAAGAATTCAAAAGAAAAAAAAAAATCAATGGCTTCTTAAGAAAATTTTTCCTTCTACAGTTATGGCAGAGAGAGATGGTGGATAGCTGTGAGTTACATGAAAGGCCTTAGATACCAGCCTACAAGAGAAGCAATACTGTCATTTTACTGCTTCAAAACAATTTAACTAATTTTCTAATTTGGTTTATAAATGTAAAAGGGGGATGTGTGTGGATAAATTCTTAGAAAATGAATAATTTTCATAATATGTTGTCTCCATGATTTTACCACAATATTAGTATATGTAAAGTTCACTGTTTGTAGTAGCTAGAACTCATCACATGTGATACTATGGTTCATTTTATTTGGTGCCCAGTTAAGCATTATTCTGGGTATTTGTGTTTGGGATAGGTTTAATACTAAGTTAGGAGACTAGCAAAGCAGATTACCATCCTTAAAGTGGATGACCCTCATATAAGCAGGTAAAAGCATGAAAAGAACAAAATAGTGACCCTATTATTGGGGGGCTTAACACATCTCTACACGAACCCTCCCTACCAAGACAAAGACAAAGCACCCAGTTATCTCCACCCCAAGTTCATGCCAAAGGACTCTTAACCCACCAAAGCCTTCAGGTCAAGCTGTGAAATTTGCCCACCCACTACAATCCATAGAAAAGGGGTTGGTCTCTAACTGTCCCCTGGGGACAGACACCATCTTAGCACCACTGCTCAGGCTGGTCACTATCCCTTTCAATAAACCTGACCTAAACTTCTCTGATGCCAGTCTCTGTTCTTTCTCAGTTGTCTCTGGGATCTGCCACTTACACTTTTCACCTATCCAAAATGAGGGAATTCCTCCTGCCTGAGTGCCCTCCTGCTGGGAAATACAGCTTTTCCTATCTTTGGACTCAAACTAAAACATTGGCTCTTCCTGGATCTCAAGCCTGCTGGCCTTCTGACCAGAACTACATCATAGGCACTCAGGGTTTCAGGTCTGCAGTGGAGTACTGCCTGCTCTATGGTTCTCCAGCTTACTGACTCCAAATCTTAGGACTTGTCAGCCTCCATAATTGTGTGAGCCACCTTCCTTATTACTATAAGGAACATACTAACTTTAAGAAACTGGCTAACACAATTATGTATCTCCATTCTATTGGTACTGTTTTTCCATGGAAAAAAAATCTAATACAAATTTTGGTACCCAGAAGTGGGATGCTTCTATAACAAATATACAGAAAAGGATGTGGCTTTAAAACTGGAGGATAGCGGTTAGAAGAGATTTGGGGTACAGGCTACAAAAGGCCTACATAGCCTTAAAGGGAATGTTGGTAGAAATATAGATATTAAAAGTCTCATGATATCTCAGATGAAAATATGGAACATACTATTGGAAACTGGAGGAAAGACAAAAACTTTGGCATAGTGACAAACAGCTAAATTTTGTTTTAATCTTTTGTGGAAGGATAGCACTTGTGAGTAATGAAACTGGATATTTAACTAATGAGATTTCCAACCAAAGTGTTGAAGTTGTAGCTTGGCTTGTCCTTATCACTTACAGTAAAACGCAAGGAGAGGGATTAATTAAAGGAACAATTAAGTACACAAGAATCCAAACTTGCAGACCTGGAAAATTCTCAACTTCTACCTATCGCAAAAAATAAAAAAGCTTGTTCTGAAGAGGACACTAGAGTGTGGCTTAACCATTTGACAAGGCAATGAGCATGCGTACGCACAATGAGTTTAATGGTCCATCACAGCAGTGTAGAGGTAGGATTATGCCAGCAGAAATACTATTTAGATGGAAGTAAAAGGGAAAGAGAAAATCAGATTACATAAAAGAAGGCTGTCAGACTTCTTGCATTCCATAGCCATGGACACCAGTCTATTTTGACACATATGTGCACTATTCTTCAAAAAAAGGAAAAATGATCCCAGTGATTCAGAGATCTGTTGAGGGCTGCCATATAAACCACAGGCCCAGAGTACACAAGCAAGAGGGCAAGAATGGTTCCCTCTTGATTGATTTCCCTCTTAATATTGATTTCAAAGGGAAGGACTACCACAGAAGTTTGAATAGGCTGTAAGAACGGAGGCCAGAGAGCTGGCATGTTTTTTTCTGCATGCTCAGAGGAAAGGCCATGGGAGGAGGAGAGCCTTTACCAGAAAGCCATCCCTGCTGGAAACTTTATCTTGGATTTTTCAGCCCCTAGAAATGTGGGAAGCCAATTTCTATTGTTACAGCCATGCAGTCTGTGGTATTTTGTCATAGTAGTCCAAGGAGACCATTACAGCATAATATTTTTACACAGTTTGGTTTTTACAAACAAAAAGTCTAGTTAATCTAAACATCCTAAGTTTCCTCTATTGGTTTCATTGGTCAAATAATATAAAATTGTTTTCGAAAAAATTTTAAATTAAAAAGATATATTCAATTCAGAAAATCAGAAAATTCCTGGTCTACTAATTTGCAGACAATTCTAAAAATCCTATAAATGATTTACACAAACTCTATGTAAATTCTAAAAACTTATTTGTCTTAATATTTTTAACATCAAGATTAATATACTGTTATTTAAGGATGACTTCAATTTAATTTCTATGATCTCTGACTGAAACATTGGAAATGATAATTGCTTCTCAAGATTTTGGCTAAGATCAAGTGTGAAAATCACTAATGAATTTTAATGTTCCTAGCATAAAGAAAAGATATTTAAAGTGATGGATATCCCAGTTGCCCTGATTTGATTATATAAATGTATCAAATTATCACATGTACACTGAAAATATATTTACTCTGTATTATATATCAATAAAAATTATATAAATTTACAATTAAACTGTAAAAAAAAGGAAAGAAAAGCACTAATGAATATATTTTGGCCAGTTTTCCTATGAAAATAAATTTTAAAATTGAGAGAACAAACATACTTAGTTATCATGCAGTAATTTTACTTAACAATCTTTCCTACATATCAGGGGTCAGCAAACTTTTTCTATAAAGGACTATACAGTAAACATTTAGGATTTGCAGGCTACATGGTCTCTGTCTCACCTAATCAGTTCTGCCATTTTAGCATCAGTCACTACAGACAATACATAAACAATGAGTACGACTGTATTCAGCAAAACTTTTAATGTGGCAGGCCAGATCTGGTCCACAAACTGTCACTTTCCAACTCCTGGTATAATGAACACCTTAGGTCTTAAAAAGGTTAAACTGTGTAA